CTCACAAGATGCTTCAAAAAGATGAAATGACCAAAAGTCATAAAACCTGTAGAAAAACTCTTTATTCTAAATTAGCATAATGAAAAGAAATTAAATTCAAAAGATGGGGGCCCTGGGTTCTAGTCCCAACTTGGCCATATGCATTTGTCACACAGATGTATAATCCCAGATACATCATTTAATCTGTTAGAAACTCAGTTATCTAACTGCAAAATGAAAATGAACTGGATGATTTGAGAGCCCCTCCCACACTAAAATTCTAAGATTCTAAGCATTTAAAAGATCTTATATTTGATAAGGCTAACAGACTATCAAAGACATTGTCTTAAAATGTCACTACCGTTTAGAGATTCTTTTTTCTAACAAGATGATCAAAGTTCAAAACTCTAAAAGAAATAATAACATCTTATCTAAAACATACCTAAAATGTTTAAGCTGTTTCTAATGGCTCAGTTTCTGCCTTTAGCAATTAAGAGGAACCAGATTATGACCACAGTCACGGACAGATTTACTTCTAGTGTCAGCAGATTCTTCCACAGATTTATGTAGAACTGCTCTAAAGAGGGCAAGAAAAAAAAAAAGGGTTCTTAGAAGTCGACTTGCTGAGCAGAAGAAAAAATAACCCAAAATACGCATACCTACAATAAAACTGATATAAAAGAAAGGTGAATTACAAGGAGAACTGACTAGCTAAGATTCTGATGATACCATCATCTATTTTTCATCCAGCCAATACTTATTAAGTACCTATTGTGTGCCAGACCCAGGGGATACAGTGAAAACAAAGTCTCTTCACTCCTACACTAGTGCAGAGAGGCTAACAACCACCAAGTGATTTCTGATACAGATAGGGCTATGAAACAAACAAAAACCCTCCTGATGTTGTGGAATTAGACAGGTAGAGATATGTTCACTGAAAAGACACCTTTGGATTAAGAACCAAATGACAAGAAGTTACCATAGAGCTTTCTAAGTAGACGGGCTAGCGAGTGCAAGGGCGCTGTGGTGGACACAAATCGGGGGTGTTTGAGAAACAAAGTGAAGACCAGGGTGGCTTTAGTGTAATGACCAAAGGGAAAGTGCTAGGAGAGCAGATCACAGAGGCAGGTAAGGGCCACGCATGATAGTGATATGATGTGATTTGCATTTTTAAAAGACCACCCTGGGATGCCTGAGTGGCTCAGTCAGTAGAGCGTCTGCCTTCAGCTCAGGTCATGATCCCGGGGTCCTGGGACTGAGCACTGCGTTGGGCTCCTTCCTGGGCAGGGAGCCTGCTTTTCCCTCTGCCTGCCACTCCCCCTGCTTGTGTGCGCTCGCTGACAAATAAATAAAATCTTTAAAAAAAATTTTAAAAAGACTACCCTACGTGCTGTGCACGTATCAAAAATCAAAACGTTCGGGTGCCTAGGTGGCTCAGTCGGTTAAGCATCTGCCTTTGGCTCAGGTCATGATCTTGGGGTCCTGGGATCAAGCCCGACATCAGGCTCCCTGCTCAGGGGGGAGTTTGCTTCTCCCTCTCCCTCTGTTCTCTCTCCCTCTCTCTCAAATAAATAAATAAAATCTTTAAAAAAAAAATCGAAATGTTCTCCGATACTGCCTTTCAAATGACAGACTCCATGATTTTATTGTATCTAAATCTAAGCTTGTTTCCTTTGTTCTTCTCAGTATTTAACAGTAACATAAATAGCCTTGAAACTGCTGTAAGTGTGGAGTTGTATGTGAATATTTTAATTGTAATTATATAAATAACATTGTAGGACTGCAATAATTATCTCCCTCTCTTCCTCCATTTGCTTTTTCCTTCCTTTTATATGCAAACTGGATTTTAACGGATGGATACCTCAGGCAGAGTCATCTATTTCTTTTACCAAAAAGATGTTTTTCACACTTTTATAAAAATATTCTATATATTAAAAAAATCCAACGTGGCTTGTTAAATTGGGCTAAAAGACCCTGAAGGCTGAGCCCTATATCATACATGAGATATAATAAAGTGCAAATAGCCATAACATAAGTGACATATCCATGTGAGAATCATTCTACAGTAACAATGAACAACATTCAAATGACAGCAGTTATGCCTGACAGTGAGCACTGCAAAGACCAATACAGGCTAAACTCACCAGTAACACAACCACCAAGTCGAAAAAGCATAGTAGTTTCGCATCAAAGTCCTAAAAATGTAGAACACTACAAAGAAACTCAAAGTGGCTTTGTAAGAATGGGAAATCCCAAGTGTAAAAAACTATATGAATCCTACCTCTAACCAGACAATGATGGACACTGACAGCTGACGTCAGGAAAGGCTTAAGAAAAGCAATTCATCAAGAATTCAAAGCACAGAGAGATTTCATCTGTCCCATCCATCCTTGAGGACTAGCTCTGGGGACTAATGCAAGCATCCATATATAAAGTACCAAATGTACCATCACATTACCCAAAACAACTTTTTATCAGAGAAGGCGCCCTGTGGCCTACCCCAAAAGACTCCAGCTTATCAGTAAACCTTTAGTAATCATAGATAAAGCCACACAAATGTATCCAGAACTGAAAAAATTCCTGTTTTCAACTAAGTAGCAAAATCACATGGATAAATAGAATTCTGACCTTGATGGCCCACTAGAAGAGATTTCCAAGCACGGCACAGAAAAACTACAAAGCATTCTGCACATGCTTTTTCTTAACACATGAGAGATAAGTTAGGCAAAGAAAATGCCGCAGGATTTCAGAGGTGTCACTAGCATTTTCCAAAGAAAAAAATGAGAAATGTAATTAAATAACTTGTGCCTTCCTGGCCTTTATTACAGGCAAGACCCAGACCAAACTAGCACTATATCATTTATCCCATCACTTCCATCCTTCATTGCTGAGTGGTTCTGTGCTACAACCTGGAGGAGTGGACATGATCTAGCAGTGCAAACAGAAAGAAGTCTGGAAGTAACCAAGATTTTTAAACTTTTATTAGTCCTTTAAAAATGTATTTAATTCCACAAAACAACTGACCTGAACTGTTCAAAACTATCAATGCCATAAAAGACAAAACAAAGCAAGGAAACTGTTCTACATTAACAAATATTAAAGAGACATGACAACCAAAGGAAATGCAGGATTCTTTTTTAAAAATTTTTTTATTTAAATTCAATTAATTAACATATAGCATATTAGTTTCAGAGGCAGAGTTTAGTGATTCATCACAGTTGCATATAACACCCACTGCTCATTACATCAAGCGCCCTCCTTAATGTCCATCACCCAGTTACCCCATCCCCCAACCCACCTCCCCTCCAGGAACCCTCAGTTTGTTTCCTAGAGTTAAAAGTCTCTTATGGTTTGCCTCTTATCTTTTTTTTTTTTTTGAAATGCATGAATCTTGATAGACTGAAAAAATAAGCTATAAAGAATATTTGTGGAACCAGAGACAATTTGAGTATAGACTATATATTATATAGTATTGTATCAATGTTAACCTTCTTGAATCTGATAATGAAATTATGGTTATGTAGGATAACGAACTTGTTCTTAAAACATACATTCTAAAGAATGTAGAGAGGGATAAAGCAAACTGCGGCCAAGTTACAAAGACAAATGAAACTCAGTTCCTACTCTCAGTGTGTTCACAGAAAAAGGTATTTCTCCTCCCACGTAAAATAGAAATATGCCATCAACATGCATATTTGTAATATAATACAATTATAATTATACATAACTATGTACCATTATGTTATATACAACAATGTATAATATGTAACAGAAAAATGTCATTAACAAGCAACTGATGATAAAGAACCTAAAGGAATACCAAAAAGGCTACCATTTATTAAGGACTGACACTGTGTCAGGGATGCATACACCACCATAAAGAAAGGTTAAATCTGTCCCAGGTTATAAAGCTAGGTTTTGAACTCAGGGCTCTATTTCTCCCCAAGGCTCGGTTCCTGACATTACGTTATACAGCCTCTTAACAAAAGAAGTCCAAAATATTAGAAATAAAAACAATACAGAAAACAGCAGACATCTGAATACAAGATACATTTGAAGTATAAACATCAAGTTTTATGACTGCAGGTTATATCATTGGTATTTGCTCAAGTGTTTAATTTTGAATTAAAGAAAGTAAGTCTATCAAGAAAATAAAAGGGAAAAGTTTGTATACAGACTACTGAAATTTATAACCACATTATGGATGAGTAGAAGGGTCGGCATCAAATTTTCAGTTTCCTCATCAACAGGTCGTCTTAAGTCTAAATCAGGTCAGCAAACCACAGCCCCAAGCCAAATCTGGCCCTCTTATTGTCTTTGTAAAGTTTTACTGGAACACAACCTTGCCCACTCATTTATTATGCCTGCCTTCCTGCTACAATGGCAGAGGTGAATACTTATGATAGAGATAGTATGGTCCACAAAACCTAAAATATTTATTATCTGGCCCTTTACAGAAAGTTTGCCAACCTCTGGTTTAAATAATAACCATCACAAATAGTAGAAAAATAATTAGCCTATTCAGTTCTATTTCGGCTTTACTGTGAACTCTACCTGATTTAAGTTCTCTTCCTTTGTAATTAGCGCCACTTAGAAAAAGCTAATGAGTTTTTTAATTTCCATAAGGATGTTCATATGTCAGTTATATTCCACAGAGTAAGTCTTGTTTCAGCTGCCCAGTAATTTATCTTCACAGTTCTATTACAAACAAAATCCTAATTAAAGCACATTTGCAGTTACCCCCACACATCCTTATCCTTCTACTGCATACAAGCTGCAAAGATATAAACAAAGAAAAGATGAATAGCTGATATGACTTTTTGAAAAGACAAAATAGCTGATATGACTGAAGAATTCCTAATACCCTGTTCACCCTAGAACATCTCAAAGTACCATTTAGGACCAATAACATCACCATCACCTGCCTGCTTATTAGAAATGCAAATTCATGGGTCTCATCCCAGACCTATACCAGGTGACTCTTAGACTGAGAGTTTAAGAACAGAGTTGATATTACTTGCCTTGAGTGTGAACAGGCTGATTCGGCCAGGCAGTTTATAAAACAGCCCCTCTCCTCCTCTTGAGTTGGAATGTAGCATGGCATTGAGACACGCAAGAGGGGATGTCCCACTGTAAAAACATACAAAGATGGATGAGGGTTATAGAAATCTATATGCCTACTTACTCAAAGATCCAATATCCTCCAACTCATTCTTAAATCAAGAAATATAGCAGAAGAGAGCCCATGACAACAATTCCACTTTCAAAGTAGTACAGGGCAACAAATGAAATCCCCATCAATCACACCAGGTAGGATATGGTATGTGATTCCCTTGTTCTACACCTGGCACTTCCTTAGTGCATTTTGACAATATCAACCAAGTTCTCAAAGAGATTTAGAAAAAGTACACAATGACTGTTCAAATTCAGGGAGTTTTAAAAAAAACATTACCCAATATTTTCATTAAATTTTAAGTTAAATTTTAATATTAAAAACAGAATGTGTTTCCTAGTCTCTGTATTTTGACCTGCATATATCATGCTCAGAAATATTATCAGCACAAAGCCCACAGGATCAATGGTGCTGTCCCAAGAAAACAAGCACACCTTTTCATCCCCAGTTAAATATTTGCTAATAAGCACACAAAAGAAGAGTATTTCATTTGCTTTTTCTCTGTTGGGAAGGGGAGAGAATGGGTTTTATTCTACATCTACCCAGGAGCAAGCACTTAAATTTAAACTTAAAAAGAAAAGTCAGTCAAATGGATCTGGTACCCAATAATGGAAAAAAGATGGATCATTAAGCTATTTCACACTCCCTGCTACAGTAGTTGGTTGCAAAACAATAACTCAGTGAATTAGAGGCCATTTACTGATTCTTAAAATAGAACAGCTGTCAAAAACACAAATGTCCATTATTAATATTAACTGAGTTTGGCACTAGCATATTAGTGCTAGGATTCACCTGTGCACCTTCTCGTCCCTCTCCCCAGTATGCTAAAAATATATAAATATTTTAAGTAAAGCCTCTTAAGATCTTTCAGAACCAGAAGCCTTAATTTATGCAGTGTTAAAAATAAATTCTCAGTCTAAAAAAGCCATTAAAAAAAAAACAAACCCTATTACTTATTCTGCTTTGGAACACACTGGATGCTAAAAAAATTTTCAACAAGAACCAATCTCTACAAGAAACCTTGTGCAGAATCTGGAGTATCAAGTGGGTGTGCTAACATCTCTGCTACAAGGGGGAATGGCATGCTGGCAGAGTCCTTCAGCAGAACAGTGTGACTCCTACACACTATACCTCTGTCTACAAATTACAGAGCTGCTCACTCATCATGAGCCACCATGACTGCTTCATTAATTCCTATAAGAGCAAGAAGCAGAAACAAGTTATAAAGTTCTCAATTTCATCTGTCCCAAAGGGACTAATTTACCTTCTATAGGTATAGTGGTCCAACAGCAGTGCAGACAGCAGCGTGATGGGAAATAGCCCATAAAAACAAAAATAAAGTACAATTATAACACTACACAGTGCATAGGTACTATTTAAATGAATGTGATCTACACAATCCTGATCTTCCCTCCCCACAAACTGTCAGCTTGAGACTGTGTGAACTGGTAAACTGGAAAGTGAGGATCTTTTGACCCTAAAAGGTCAATTTCAAGCAGCTAAAACTTAACCAGCAAAAACATATGCTGTTTGTTCTGAGTTCCAAGAAGGGAGACTATGTTGTATTCTCCTCTTTCATTTAAATTAAAGAAAAAGGGGGTTGGGGTTAGAGTGCAGAAAGGAAAGAATTAAACGCAGCCACTAATGTCCGTGCCTGTAATTCCTTTTATTTCTAACTTGTTGCTTCTCTAGCAAAACTACAACATACAAGAATAAAATCAAGGTCACACTAAACTTTAGTATATTCCTATGATGAATGGCTAGAATCAGTAGGGAGGAAAAAAAGGCCAGTGGTGTTACAGTGATGAGACGACCCTTCTTTTGATCCTAAAACAAAGAATTTCAGGGATATAAAAAGAAGGGAAGTTTTATACAAGATAGAGCCGATCAGAGTCTGCCCCTTCTCTACTAATACGTGCAAAAGAGAGTACAAAAGAAAATGCATGGATTCCTTACACAAAGAACACACTCCATGTCAAGATTTAAGGGAGAGCAAGAATAGAGAAAGCTGCTGCATCTCTAATGAAAACAAATGGATGTTCACTCATTCCCACCCACCACTCAGAAGACACACAACTTGGGCGATAGTTCTATACCACACCAGACTGGGGGGGGGGGGGGGGGGGGGGGGGAAAAAAAAACGGGGGGGGGCGGGGAGAAGGCATATATACACTTAATCACGACACTAAGTATCCACAGAAAGATGTATGTCCTATGAAACCCTCTTGAACGAGAACAATACGAACCTCATTTCCTTTAATCCTTCTGCCTCTATGACCTGCAGAATCTGTTTTGGTGTCATTGGAGCATCCGAGTAGTTTTCTAGTACCTGAGGAAATATAAATGTTCTGATTTTAGTGTACAATTTCCATTTATATCCATCAGTCTATATCCTGAGCTACAGTTCTGCTATGAGGCACCACTGCTAACAATTTAGTTTTTCCACAGTTAATACTGCTTCAGAAACCAAATTACATATCTAAGAGGTTGCTAAAAGTGATTGAAAGTAGCATAAATATTCTAATTCTTAATTCTAAAAACACCCATCTTCTTAGCATACATGCTATGTTATGGTACATGGGTGGGGCCTTAGCAACTTTGGTTACTGCTTAACTTCACATTGTTCACAGGGCTAAACCACAGAATACATAGAGCTACAAAATAATGACAAGACAGAAATGCATTCAGGTTTTTTTTTCCTGAGGAAGTCTGATTAGTACCCATATTTTTTTTTTTAAAAGAATGGACTATTGTTTTTTGTTTGTTTGCTTGTTTTTAAAGACTTTATTTATTCCATGGACAGAGAGAGACACAGCGAGAGAGGGAACACAAGCAGGGGGAGTGGGAGAGGGAGAAGCAGGCTCCCCGCAGAGCAGGGAGCCTGATGCGGGGCTCGATCCCAGGACCCTGGGATCACGACCTGAGCCGAAGGCAGACGCCTAACGACTGAGCCACCCAGGTGCCCAGTACCCATATTTTTAAGTGATGGTTTTTGCCACCATGTTGTGAAATTTTGGTATGAACTGCCACAGTACACTTTGTCATTTGGCAACATGAAGCTCTGATTCTTTATGACTGGTGCAGGCAAAGCAACGAGACACAGAATGTCCCATTTACGTTCGCAACATCTCTAACAAAGTCATGGCAGCAGTTTCCTAGTGAGCAACTGCGGCTCTCTCACGTGAAGGAGCGGAGCTGTTTTAGAAATGCCATCCTTCTCAGGGAGGAAAAAGGCTGTCAGTATCTTTGTACGGTCCCTACCAGCAGCTGCTGAGGCTACTCCGTATACCTTGCAGTCACTGAACAACTGTAACAACTAAGTGCTGCTTTGTCACAAATAAAATGTAAAGCAAGAAGTCTGACAGGACTGCTGCTAAAGGGTCTCCCTGTGGAAGAACATAAGCCCTTAACACTAAAGGAAGTCAAGCTTTGGAGAAGCAGGTGCTGAAATAAAGCCCCTATTTACCATGGTCCCATTGTTAGCCTCTCTCTTTTCAATGTCTACATTCTCTTCAAGTAGCTCTATCACCTCTCATAGCCTCAACTACTACCTATGCTCTGCTAACTCCCAAATACTCACCTCTAGCCTGGGTTTCTCCCCAGCTTCCGACTCAAATATTCACTTCTGTACTGACATCCGCCCCCTCGATCATCTGTTCTAATTCACCTAACTGGCAACTCCAATTCATCGCCCCTCTTCCTCCATCACCTAATGCAGAAACCTAGACAGCACCCCTCATTCTCACCTGTCCCCCAATTCCTTCCCTCACCCAACACACAGCCCTTTCGCTAATATGCCTGCAACCAGCTCTGCTTTCCTCAAATCCATCCTTCCTCCGCGACCATCCTTCACTCCACAAATACATGAAATACTTACTGTGCCAGGGACAATTCTAGAATTCAGCAGCAAAAAAGACCAAACCCCAGCTCTTGCAGAACTTACCTGCTATATGAGGTCAACCCAACAAAATAAATCTGCCCTCATCACTTTCCCCGCTTTAAATTCTTCAACAGCAACCTAATCACATACAGCAAAGGCCAAAGCTTCCGAAGAAGAGCTCACCAGCTCACTGGAAAGCACAGACTTTAGAACCAGACAGACCTGGATTTAAACGCTAGCCTTCTAAACCTGGGCAAGTTACCTCCCAAACTGAGCCTCAGTTGCCCCACTTGTGATGTAAAGATATTGATGTCTTCCCCTAAGAGTTGTTTTACAGATTGCAGATGGTGGAAATAAGTGTCTATGGTGCCCGGCACAAGTATGTGCTCACAGGCCTGGCACGCAAGGCCCTCAGAATCTGGTCTCTGCCTGTCTCTCCACCCAACTGCCAAACTGATACTCCACAACTTCACGTTCCAATAACTATGTGTAGTTCTACCCAATTCCCACACTCTCCACCCTGTGCACAAGTGTGCACACACACACCACTGGCTCCTTGTCACCAGCTCCTAACATCCTCCGTGATGGGCCTAACTTCTACTTGCCCTTCAAGATTTAGTTTGGGAAAGCACCTTCCTCTAGAAAGCCTTCTCTGATCTCTGCCAGGCAGAGTTAAATGTCTCTTTTCAGTGTCCTCATAGTCCACAACACATGTAATTTACCTTCCACAGTGGGACACTGAGTGAAAGGAGAAACCAGTCATGACGACGCCTGGACAATAAACCTGAACCAGAATGTCTGTTTTATCATAGTACATCTACGATGGCACTTATCATGCATGTAGTAAAATTCTATTCATGGGTCTAGACCTTCTCCATTCCCAGAAGACCATTAAGTTCCTCAAGGGCAAACCTTATCCATCTTTGTATTCTAAGAACCTGAGTGCCAAGTTAAGCAGTGTTGACTTGAACAAACCCACAACAAACCCTGTTACAAGCTACTAACATTCACTGCCACAGGTATCACTTTTTTGATACTAAATGAGAGCTGAGTTAGCAAATTTCTGTACTGTAATTTTTTTTAAAAGAAGCATGACTCTGAAAAATTAGTTACCAATTATTTAAACAGCAGTCAGGAAGAGCCTGAGAATCTAAGACAGAGAATCTTGGAGCCTGAGAATCTAACTTCTCTAAAAGGAAGTTACATCAAAAGATACAAAGTATTCACTTTTATTATAATTGTATATGCCTCCAGCTTTTAGTACAAGAACAATTCAGCAGTGTTCTATTCCTAGTCCCTATCTTTCTGGCACACTTAAAAAAAAAAAAACAGCATCTCTTCTACTTCAAAGAGAAAAAAAATGTTTGATGTAAGAATGGTCAGTCATGAATCAAAGTGAAAGATAAAGCATACAATGAAGAGTTTCTCAAAGCCACGGAGAATCCATTTAAGGACATTCAATTTAAAGGGAAATCCCCTAGGCTATTTCTCCCAAACAAATCGTTCCTAACAAGCAGGAGGATTTATACCATCCAACCCTCTAAAGTCTACCTCTTATATCTAGAAAAGACAATACTACAAAATGTTTGAAAGAAGAGTATCTACTTCTCAACAACATAATTAACATCTGCAAAAGTCAATCTCCTGAGGTATACTACACTAATGAAATTCTCCAGAACCTCTTTTTTCCTACCAAAATAGTTTTTAAGAATTCCCAGTATCACTCTAGCCACCAATCTAAGCAAGGTCAGGAGCAATATGAAACCACCCCATAGCAACTGCATCTGATTGCCAAGTCAAGCACTCCAAATTCACCTGTCCAAAGAGTAGATTTAATCGCCTGCCCTCCCATTACGCGCTTTCTCTAGTCAAGCTGCTCTCTGTCCAGCATACGCTCTCACAAACTCCCCAGCACTCCGTGTTGCAGCGGTTTTCTTTAAATGGGGAGAGGACTCTGAAGAGTTGCCCCTCACCCACCAAATGGTCCCATCCAAAGGGATGGAAAATTCTAATAAAAAATAAAAGATATGCACAATTACGCACCATGTTTCCACAAGTCGTCTTTCATATGTTTTAAGTGCACTACAAAGTTATTCCTATTCATATTATTTTTTAATGAAGAGCCATAAAACAAAAACAGAAATAACTTATTCAGATAATCTGGCATGAAGTTAAGCCAATGATAAAACAAAACTAACAACCTGGATACTAGAGTTCAGATCACAGTAAGTTCAAGAAGCTAAAGAGGCTTAACGGAACAGTGGACCGTGAATTCCTGAAGTCTTTCAACTAGTAAAAGCCAACAGAGCTTTGAGACAAATACACTTCAGAATTCTGTCAGAACGTAAGTAACACAGGATTTAAAAGTACTTTCACCTACCTCTAACAAGTAAAACTCTGGCAAGCAAATTTCCTTTTGGTGCCCAGAGTCATAAACACCTGCGTTAACAGGAACTTAGAGGAGAATTTCAATGAACACCCAAGACTCAACCTTGAGGAGAAAAAGAGCAAGCACATCCTTTGGCTCTCTCCTCCTTTCCCTCAGGCCTAAATTTGTTTCCAGGTGAGGCAACACTGGAGAAATCCTAAAATTTCCAAGAGATCTCAAAGCTAGCCAAAGCTTCCAATTTTGACTGAACCAAGAAAATATTTAGAACTTCAAAATCTACAAATTTCATATGCCAAACCAAAACAAATGAACAGAAGCATGAAACTTGAGCACACAAACACTTGCTATTTCTGTTCACTGGGCAACAAGTGCCTGGGGAAGACAATCAGGAACACCAGTGAAAATTCTCTCGCAAACCAAACAGCTTTATTTCTTGTAAGTCAGTAACTGAGTTTTACATGTTCCAAGAAAGAAAAAGGTGTACCATAGAGCCCTAACGACCCCCAACACAATAATCATCTCTTTGTCTACACAACACCTCTGAGGAAGGAACCTCGCTTCCCAATAAAGTAAAAGATTAGAAAGTGAAGTTTCATTCATCATTAAAAGTGAATTACAGCAATTACATTTAAACTACAAGGTGTCAAGAGACATATATGCTATCTGCACTATAACCCTGCTCTGTGACAGTTCTTGAGGAAGTGACATCTCTAGAAGTTACAATTGTCATCTGCCAAGATATATTTGTAAGAACATGTCTCCCAGTGTCTTAGCTTTGTGGGTGCAAATCCAAAAGGAAGCTATTTCGATTACAAGTCCTCTGACTCTATGAGAACAAAATACACAACCTTCCTCACTAGGCAGCTTCAACAAATCACTCCCTCCTCTGCTAAGTCCTCAATGAGCAGTATCTTCAGAGGTACTTGGTCTTTGTCCAACACTTCAAGTATAACATGCACCAGGACACTAAGGAGAGGAGGACACACACATACATTCTCCCCAAAGTAGAGTCAGTTCTCTGCAGAGTCCCTATCTCCAGTCTAGCTTATGAAGTAAAACCCTCTAGTCAGCGTTTCTCAAAGTGTGGTCCCGGGCCACCTGCATTACAGTCAACATGGGAAGCTGGTTAAAATGAAGACACTGAGGCTCTACTCAGTCTGAATTTCAGACTCAGAAGATCTTAAGCACGGCCCTAGGACGAGCATTCCTAAGAACCTCCCAGGTGTCCCCAACAAGACACTAAAGTTTGAAAACCACTGCTCAGGGTTCCACCTGGGAGTAAGCACTTGCTTCCCTCCACACACCTGGTTTAGATGGGGAAAGCTCAAAATGTCACTCGCGTCCTTAAAATTGGGGGTATTTTCCGACCCCTGGAGTCAAACGCACCACCCCATTGCCCACCAGGAAGCGAGGGAGGAGCTTCCGACCCTTCCCGGAAACCTAACTCCCCCGAGTGCATAAACGAAGCTTCCCCAGACCCCCAGACGCTGCCAAATAGTGGGGGAGGGGAGGTTGGGGCCCCGCCGCCCAGAGGGGGAGGAGCCGGCCAGCCAGCTCGCCCCTCCGCAGGAATTTAGGGGGTGGGGGGAGCTGCAGAAAAAGGCGCCACATCCAACCGGCGGAGGACCTCTCCCCCACCCAATGCCTGGGGGGGGGGTGTCCCATTCCTAGAAAATTGGTGGCCCCGCCCCCTCCTGCAGTGGGCAGGGCTTCTCCCCTCCCCCTCCCCGTGGAGGGGGCTCGGCCAGCCCACCCCCCACGTCCCCCACTGAGCCCCCTCGGCGGCCCGCCTCACCAGGCGCGCGGCCTCGGCCCACGTGCGCTCCTTCTTCCTCTTCTGTTTGTCCTTCATCCTCCTCCTCCCCGGCGGCGGCGGCGGCGGCGGCGGCTCCACGCGGGACCTCCGGGCGGGGCGGGTGGCGGCGGCGCGGGGCTGGGGCAGCGGTGGCG